AGAGGTTAGCTAGCTTATCTAAAGTTTATGCCTCAATGCAAGTAAGCATAGTTCTATCTGATTCCAAAGACCATCCACATCCCATTATGTTATAATGCCCGAAAATGGAGATGTAGAAAGTCAACACTAACCTAATGTGAATAGCCAAGGTCCGGTCACAAAAATGTCCACAAGGCAGATTTCTTTGGTAACCTTTTGAAACCATATTGAAGGAGGACATGGAACAAATTTTCAGGTCCCCATCGGACCCTGATGTGTTTGGTGGTATTTTTTGCGTGAATCAGAATGAGTTTGAATGTCAGCATAGTCTTTGCAAACTCTAGTAGTTTCAAAAGAGGTTGTTACCTGGGCAGCACCCAATGGGGACTGGTAAGTGGAACCTGAGTGTTAGTGAAGGGCCTGATTTAAAGTTAGGGAGCCCTGGGAAAGCCACTCAAGCCTTAGTGTTCTCATCCCCAAAATGGTGTTTCTTAAGAATTCCTTGCACATCTGTTCACTGATACTAAATGAGTTAGAATCGACAGTCATAGGCTTGGCATTTATAAACACCCCYAGGATTTTCTTCTTTGGCATTTGTGTCTTTCCATCCATTGTTCCCTGCTCTAAATCTTGGTTATATCGGTGCTCAATGGCTTTCCCCCAAGAAGGCTGTATAAAAAGAAGCACTTTCCAAAACTATATATCAATGCTTCCAGAAAAATCTGGCACCTGGATGCAAATCTGGTGCACTTTGAGCAAAGGTGGGAGGATCCCCTGAACTAGGAGTTTAAGACCAGTCTGAGCAACATATGGAGACTCTGTCTCAAAAGAAAGAAATAGAAAGAAAAAAAAAAGTCTGGTGGCAGAGTGTGGTCAGAGGCAGCTGCTGACTATAACTGGTGTCAGGTACCTGTGGAAAGGGCAGGCCCTTGGGTGAAATGAGGTTTGGATCAGAAATCTGTTCCATTTTACAGTCATGAAGAAAAGTCATTTAATCTTCAATTTTCTCATTTGCTAAATGAGGATGATAATTTCTACTTCTCTGAATTGCCTTAAAGACTCAGTGAAAAGGCTGAAAATGCCAAATTGCCTCATGTGGGCTGAATTTTAATCTTGTTGAGAAGGAGAAACTTAGATGTCTACCATTACCACAGAGGGCTGARGGGTAACTCCCAATCTTCCCAGCCTCCAAGAACTCTGTGGGGTTGTTCTCTGCTTTTAAAAGTTCATTCCTACTTATTAAGTACAACAGCATGTTCCTTTCATGACTTCCCACTTAATGTCTGATCCAGCTTACTCAGAAGAATGGAAGGCACCTTGCTTCTACGAGGCCACATTCTCTGAACAGCAGTCTGTTCCCTCTTGGGTCCTTACACTACTGAATTAGGAAAGAGRTCTTAAGGCGACACACTGGGCTGTCTGGATTTATATGCAGACTTCTTAAAGCAGTGCCTCTGAGCTTTGTTGGGTCATGGAAATCTCTTAAGAAGGCAATCAAAGGGACAGTCCCTCTCTCCAGAAAAATTCTCATCTACACCTAATTTTGCACATAATTTCAGACCATCCAACACTCTACTGAAATTCACTCATGGACAGAGGTTAAGTAGTATCCTTGTCTAACAGTGAAAAGTGGTCATGAATAACATTGCTCCTTCAACCTCTGATAATATTTGTTGATTATTAGTATAAAACCATAATCTTGCCATTCTTAGAGATTTTGTGCTCTATTTACCATAGGTATTTTTGTTGTTGTTGTTGTTGTTGTTTGTTTGTTTTTCCTGTGATCAAGAGAAAAGATATTTAGAGTGGGGTTTCCAGAATTTATTTTATAACCCGTGGCTCCGAATACAGTTAATAACCAATCTGTTGTACAATCACATTGACACCAAGCAAGCCATTGTTCCTAAGACTCACTAAGGTCAGCCAAGCCCTGAGCTCTATAAATCTCCATAGTTTCCACTTTAGCACTGGGCATCTAACTACAGAGCAGAGGATAAAAATAGACCAAGACCAAGCTGAGTGCTTATATCCACTCCACTCCACAGAAGTGCATTTCTATCTCTAGGGGCCTTAATCGACAGCACTGTTCAAAATCTAAAGGGATATTTCACTTAGCAAGGAAAAAAAAATCATTTCATTTTGAACAAACTTAAATACTGCCTAAAGGAATTATGAAGACTAAAGTGTTCAAAGAACATTATCTGCACCTGTTAGTTTTGTGCCTAAAAAAAGAAAGACAAAAATACCTCCAGGATTAGGTTGGCCTTTTAGGTTGCATGATACAAAGGAAAAAAGACATCATTGGTATATTCTTCTCTTACTTGCTTCTAGCTCAACATGTTTCTACCAAGAAAACAGTTGTTCAAACATAGCAAGCCATTAATGAATACCCACCTACCTATGTAAATATACACACAGTAGAAAGGAGCAAGATAGAACGTTGAATACAAGAAATGATTATAGTTTAATTTCCTATAGAAAGTTTATTGTCTAAGACTATTTATACCTAAAATGGCTAAGTCTTTCTAAGACTCTATAGAGCAAATGATTTCTGAGTATACTCAATCTTTTATGTAATACAAATAGAATCTTTTGTGTAATACATCAGGTTATGAACAAATATGAATATTACACACGTGGTTAAATATAGGACATATCAAATTAAAATAATTTAAGAATTACATATAAATGTAAAGCTGAAGAAGTAAGTATCACTTAAAAATAGAAGTTCATGCTCACACCTGTAATCCCAGCAGTTTGGGAGACTGAGGCAGGAGGATTGCAAGTTCAAGAACAGTCTCAATAACTTTGTGAGGGCCTCAGCAACATAGCAAGACCCTGTCTCAAAATAAAAAATAAAAATGGTTGGTGCACACACACACACACACACACACACACACACACACACACACCACACATTAAAAAAAAGAAAGAAAAAAAGGAAAAGAAGACAAAAAGAAAATATAAAAATACAAGCTTACAAAATTCTACAGATTCTTCCACATTGGCAAAATGAAATAACTACCCAAAAAGTTATATGCTAACAATTGCATGATAACAAAAACACCCATCTTCTACAGACCTAGCACAGACAGTCCAAGAAAATGGATATTGAGGATGTAAATCCTCCTCCATTACAAGACAGCTGCTTTCCTAATTGAGGTTCTTGAATGGTATCTATGGAACATTTTTCAGGAGAACAAAATGATACTGTCACATACACATGGTGTTAATTCCTCCCAACCTTTCTTTGGAAGGCAGTTCCTCTGAAGCAAGTGCTAAAAGAAATGAATTCACCTCAGCAACAATATTTCCATATTTCCAGCCAACATGAGATCCTTATGAATACCCCACGGCAGACCATGACCTATGAAAGTGAGACTGCAAAACGATCCTGCTCCATTTTAAATGGAATTTCAGAAGGTTGCCATCATACATTCCAGGTAAACCCCAGAAGGCTCTGGCTCTGTTACTGAACTTAGCAGACGCTCCCAGGAGGCCACGGTCACTGACCAAAGGACAGCTGGAGATCACGTGCTGCTCAAACCCAACAGGAATTTAAGAATTTCTGTTCTTGGAAAAACTTCTTCATGTCTACTCATACACATCACTCTATTATTTCCTCAAAAACTTTAGATGTCCAGAGATAAGCCCCTTTTCCAGTTGCTTTACCAGATATTTTATGGACTTAAATTTTGGAAGACTTAAAATGATATCGTATTTATAACAAAAAAATGCCACTATGCCCCATGCTTTGGAGAAGAGGATTAGAGGCAGCAGGTGGCTACTGACCACATAGTCTAGAAATGTCTATGCTTTTGGAKATCAGCAATTCTTTTTGTAGGCTAAAGATAGACTTTCAATTTTTTAAAAAAATCACATGTATCTTGCAAGTGTTTTTTTTTTTTTTAACATCTCTATAAAGTATTTTATTCTGAATACTGAGAAAATAAAAGTGCTTTGGATTTAGAAAACAACATTCATTGGTCTGGACCAACAGACTCAGAGAAGCCAAATGCAAAATTAACAAGAAAGAACATTTCTCCCAGGGCTGCTGCTGCTGCATAGCGTCATAGCAACTAACCTCTTTCTTTGGGTGACTGCAGATGGAACTTTTTTCTCTGCAATCAGACTATTGGTGAGTTTGCTGTTCACATCAGTAGGAATGAAACATCTCACTCTTACCTAAAGGATCTCAGTTGCTTGTTGACCCCAGAAAACCAGCCTTTGCTCCCACCCCAGGTAAAGAGCTCCAACCAAGGGTTTTTGGATACAACAGTCCACGTTGACCTTAACTTTATTGTTTCCAAAGAAATGAGATCTTGGGGTTGCTCTGCAGACCAGATCTGCATCTAAACTCCACATTTCCTAAAATCCTAAAGTAACTCATTCTAGTTATCTGTAGTCTGCCACATTGTTGGGTCAATAAATCTAATTTTGTGACAATACAGGTTTGGTTCTATCGGTCTTAGGCTGACTGAGATAAGGCCAAGTTTTTTTGTTTAATAAAATGCTAAAGAAAACATTTTCTGCTTGAATAATAGCTCAGAATTTTGATTATTGGCTTTCTGAGGCCGAAAAAAATAGAATCCATCTCTGCCATCATTTAGCCCTCTGTGACCTGTGAATTTTAACTTCTACCCTGGTGGCCTCTCATCTAAGCAAAAAACCTTCAGAGAGCCAGGAGACCTGCTGTGAGTGTTGAAATGATATTTTCTGGCTCTGCGGGCTGCTAAAGTAACTGGTGGCAAAATGTCCCTGCTTCTAGAAATATCACAGCAGGAATCGCCAGTGAGACTCGCCAAGAGAACTAGGAACCTCTCTGTGAATCCCAAAGAGACAATCATGGGCAATAGGTATAGACACAGGTCTCAGGTGTCTATACCTGTATCTCAGGTGTCTATACCTGTATCTCAGGTGTCTATACTCCCCAAACCTATTCTTTCTCCACACCTGGTTTCAAGGTAGAGCTGCCACATGGAAGGAGCCAGGAAAAGTGATTTGGGAGGACCAAGACCTACCCGTGGGAGTAGCCATAATCGTAGGCTGAGGCTGCCTTCCGACTGACATGGGAGTCCAGGGAGAACTGCGAGCTTCCAAGATGGGAGGCCTGCGAGGCTTGCTGCTGGTAGGAGGAGGCCGACGCCTGGATGGAGGCCTGCGACTCCTGGCGGTGAGCCGCCGAGGACCGACTGCTGTAGGCGGTGGAGCCGTGGGTGTAGATGGCCGAGCGCTTCTTCTCCTGCTGGTACTGGCTCATGGTGGTGCGAAGGTCCTTGTTGCGGTAGCTGAGATCATAGTGCTGGTGGGACCTCTGATAGAAAGGTAGCGACATCATGGGCCCTTGAGGGGAGCAGGCAGCCTACAAGAGGACAGCAGTTCTTGAGTCAGTTATTAAGGAACCCAGGCCAGAGGACAAGTCCTCCAAACCAACGTGAAAGAATGCATGCATTCATCTTTCCAAGGGGTGAATGGAAAAGGATGTGAGGTTCAGTCTAACGGGTTACTCAGTAAACTCCCTCCCACATAACCTATATGTCCCTTCCTGTCCTGTGCCTTCTTTTTTTCTTTATATTTAGGAGGACTTAGCAGGGTTTCTTGACCCTTACTGTTGTGCTTTTTCCTTTGGGCCCTCTGCCATAAACATTTCTAATTTTTTTTTTTTTTTTTTTTTTTTKCATTTCATTCTGACAGGGGCTTCATTTGGGATCATATGTAATGATGGAGTGCAATGTGATATTCACTCAACAAATAATTAGTGAGCACCCACTGTGGGCCTGGAATTATCCTAGCACAAGAAATACAGAGGTGAACAAAGACAAACCAAAAGCAAAATCTCTGCTGTAATAACCTACTCCAGAATGGTATATTCCTTTTWAAAAAAATGTTTTTTATTAGTGCATTATAGTTATACATAATAGTGGGGTTCATTTTGACACAATCATACATGCACGGAATGTAATTTGCTCTATTTTAGTCCCCGGGTACTTCCTCTTTCCATCCTTCCTCCCACCCTATTTCCCTTCTCTACTTGTCTTCCTTCCATCTCTTTATTTATTGTTTTTAATCAGTATTTTAAAGATACACATAGGTGGACCTCACTGTGGTGTATCTTACATATATGTAGCATAAGGTTAATTTCATCCTGCAGTTCCTCCCTTTTCCGAATCCTTCTCTCTCCTCCTCAATCTCCTTCATCTATTCCACTGATCTCCCTTCTATTTTCATGGAATTCACCCTCCTGCCCCCGCCCACCCTCCTTATTTTGCTCTAGGTTTTCCATGGGAGAAAAAATAATTGACCTTTGACTTTCTGAGTCTAGTTTATTTCACCTGCATGCTGTTCTCCAGTTTCATCCATTTACTGGCAAATGCCATGATTTTTTTCTTCTTTATGGCTGAGTAAAACACCATTGTGAATAAACAGCACATTTTCTTTATCTGTTYGTCTGTTGRTAGGCACTGGAGCTGGTTCCATAACTTAACTCTTATGAATTGTGTTGCTATAAATATTGATATTCTCGGATCACTATAATGTGCTGATTTTAGTTCTTTTGGGTAAATTTTTTTACCCAAATTTCTTTTGGATAAATCTTACAAGAAGATTTAAAATCTTATACCAAGGCATAGGATAACTGGAATAGTTAGACCTGYATATTCTATTGTAAGAGATAGTCATGAAAATTAATGTTTGGGATATATTAGCATGTGCTAAGTGCGATAGAGGAAAAATCAAGCAGGAAAGAGGGATAGATGCAATTTTTAATAGCCCCATCAGGGATGGCTTTGCTGGAAGGTGACATCTGAGCATGAACGTATCTGGGGGAGGAGTGCTCTAGATAAAATACCAGTGCAGAGGCCCTGAGGAAGGGGCACTTATCATGCTCCAGCCAGAGAGGCAGGGGGTGTGGGAGGAGGGAGAGGCAAAGATGGTGTCCTAGAGATGAGGRGCAGGCAGGGGGAAGGGCAGATAGTGTAGGGTACTATAGGCGACAGTAAGGACTTGGTCTTTTATTCTGAGAGACTGAGAAGCCATTGGAAGGYTCTGAGCTGAGAATGACTCTTGGTGTCCCTAAAAGAAAAGGAAATTGGGACGCATTATCTGTACATATAACAGTGGGAGGACCATGTGGAAACAAAGGGAGGAGAGGAGGGCAATCTACAAACCAAAGAGGGGCCTCAGAGAAAACCAGCCCTTGCATCTTGGATTTCTAGCCTCCAGCATTGTAAGAAAAGAAGTCTCTGTTAGRTAAGCCATCCAGTCTGTGGTACTTTGCTATGGTGGCCCTAGCACACAACACAAAGGCTACCGCAGTACCCAGGGTAGCAATGACAGCGGTAGTGGTGAAAATGTGACAAGTGGTCAGATGGTGCACAGTTTTGGAAGATAGAACAAATAACATTCGATGGAAGTTCTGAATTAGAGTGTGAAGAGAGATAATGCCAAGGGTTTTGCCTGAGTAACTGGAAGACTGAGGTTGTTATGACGGAGATGGGGAGGATAAGAAAGCCTTGGTTTGAGTTGGAAGAACACAAGGTTGGTTTGAGACAGTCTGCATCTGAGATGCTTGCGAGACCTTTAAGAGGAGGCCTAAAATGTGAAGCTGGATATGTGACTCTGGAGTTCAGGGAGTAGACCAGTATAAAAACCTGCATTAGAGAGCAAACAGCATATTGGTGGCGCTCAAAGACCAAAGAAACAAAAAAAACTAGATGAGAACAAATGTAAATGGAAAAGTAGGTGCTAGGACTGAGCCYTGGAGTTAKGGCARTGTTACTCACAAGCTCTGTCAAATYKTASGAACACTTCAAAAGGGTATATCAGAAAAATTATTTGCTTTACAAGGAATATGAAGGCTTCCAGACTTCCTACAYGAAGAAGTAAGAGAGTCATTCCTCAGGATGGCAGTTGGCGTTGTGAACTAGTTACCATTATACTGAAAATCAAAGATGGAGCTTGCTTAGCATTGGRAGGGGAGACTTCACATTACATTAGCTTTCCTGAATAATCTGYTCACTGTTAGGAGACTTATCAGCTGTGCGGACAACATAACAGTTTTATAGATGTCTCCCCTCCTAGTTTTTTAAATGCTTTTATGCATCTTTTCAAATRTTGTTTTAAAATCTTATAAGAAGCTGGGTGCAGTGGCATATACCTGTAATCCCAGCAGCTCTGGAGGCTGAGGCAGGAGGATCGTGAGTTCACAGGCAGCCTCAGCAAAAGTGAGGTGCTAAGCAACTCAGTGAGGCCCTGTCTCTAAATAAAATCCAAAATAGGGCTAGAAATGTGGCTCAGTAGTTGAGTGTTCCTGAATTCAATACCCAGTCAAAAAAAAAAAAAAATCTTATAAGAAAATCAGTGTTGGAGTAATCAGTTTTTTCCAAAACTTGTTTTTCTTAAAAACCTGAAGAAGTAAATCCTTCTACAGTTGCTATATTTTTCCCATATTTAATAATCCTTTTCATTTAAACTATTTTAAAAGTCAGTATGTATTCCCTAGAGAAGAAAATCTAGCAAACTTCACTCCAGAAATATGTATCTTAGGTCTCAAGGAAGATATCAGTCTACATGGCATTTCCTAAGAGGAAAAAAATAGCTACTAACAAGCAACTCTGCTTCAACCCTTAAATAGATTGCTCTTTTCTGTTCTTAAATGTACAGAATAAAATTGTCATAGATAATTAATAATTATATATGAATTTTGATAATACAAAAGATTAGAATAAATATAGAATTATGTCAGGCAGTTACAAAGATATTAGATATGTTTCTATAACAATACATACCACACTATCACATGGCAAATACTGTCTGAATGATCTACAAATAAATAATAAAGGTTTTTCCACTTATCATAAGCTAAAGTCACTACCCTGATGATTTGAAATAATTTTCACAAAATAAAATCTTTAAATCTTACCCCAATTCTATTTTCTTCTCTATTTTTATTTCTCCCAGTGTGTYTATTTTTAATAATATTTAATATTCCATGCACATGGATCACGCATTACAAGTAAACAGGGCTTGATGTTAAGTTAACAGAACTGGTTGACCTCTGGAAGGAAGGTATAACTTCCTCCTCTTCATCAAGTAGACAAGGATTATCCCCACCACTGGACAACTAGAGTTTGTTGGCAGGACAAATGGTTTTGTTGTCTTCTGTTCCTTTAAAACTTAAATTTTATTTTCAGAAACAATTTGGTAATTTAGGAAGAAATACAAACTCCATAGTTGTAATCTTCATGTGATACTTTTAGATAAGCAGGCATTCAAGGTTGAAATCTGATTAAAATTATTCCCAGAAGGTGTTAACTTCAGGATCATTCTGTGGGGAATCGGTGCTGCCTCTGAAATCTGAGTTAATCATTTTCAAGTTAGRAGAACCATGGTGCACACAGACACACACTGATGACATTGTCAGAGTAAAAAAATCACTGGATCATAAACTAGTAACCTCAGCGTTAATTTGCCTCCTTTTGGCCCAGTTTATCATCAGAGAAAGGAAAGCACAGGATTTCCTGCCCCTCGTCCATTCCAGATTTCAACCAAACTACTGAATTGTAACGAGGAAAGAGTAGTCAGAGTTGAATCTGAGACAAACATGATCTTATAGCTCTAGGAATGGCAGCTCAATTTAAAAAGAATACAATGATCTGAGAAAATAACCCTGCCAGCCCAGTTGGCTCCCTGCTGTTCTAGTTCCCAGATTCCTATTTCTCTGCTATTCTGAAATCTCTGTGAGAAAACTGCTGAGCTGAGAGGCAAGCAAGAAGCTACACACTGCAGTGCTGATGAGCACATAAGCGCTCAAGTGCATTTTCTCTGCCTGGCTGTCACACTTACCAGTTTCCAAAGGAGTAATGGTGGGGGAAATGTTCTGATGTGGCCGAGGAGCTGGAGGAGAGAATGAAAACCCCACTCTAGGTTGAATCCAAGAAAAAGTTCAGAGGCAGGGCTAAAGGCAGGGACCCTGGGGGCCAGTTCAAAAATAATGCATGTGGTCAGGCAGCAGAATGTCAGGGCCCCACAGCCAGCCTTTTATGGCCAAGAAGGCAGATAAATATAGCAGCAAATGGGGAGGGTAGTCCCAGACTCAGAGGAGGAAAGGCACAGGCAGGTAGCTGCCTTCCTAATGTGATTATATTAGTGTGGACAACGGTCCGGTCTGATTAGACAAGCATGGGGTTTTTATTTGGYTATAAGAGCTGTGTTCAATATCACTGTAACCCAGCATATTTGAAAGTATAATGGAAAGAGTGGTTTGTGTGGASAGCTAAAAATAGGTGTAGTAATCCGATTCTCAAAATGGACTTCATGGAATTTTAATGCCAAGATATGATTCTGGGTGTGCTGTTAATAACAGGTGTACAATACACTGAAAAGATACAGAGTGAAAGGGAAAATTGGAGGCTAACTGGAGGCAAAGCAAGAAATGGGTCGTGCGTGGTGGCAGTTTGGGCCTCATGATACAGTCACCGTTTCTCTCATTTCAGGAAAATTTGCAAAGTAAGTCAGAGCTCTGGTCTGGTTATTTGTCTCCTGGATCATTAACAAAAGCCTTTGGGGAAGAAACTCAATGTTTTGTCTTTCCTAAACTCAGAGAAAGACCAAAGAAATTCTGTTTTTGAGTCAGTGGAGCTAAAGAGGAGGTGGCTYTGGTAGAGCCTGCACTGTGGACTCTCCTCAGATGCAAGTTCCAGGCCTTTCTTGACCCTACATGGCCATGAACCTCAAGCAACTTCTGCTTCTCCAAGTTTCAATTTCTTTCTCTGAAAAAAATGGTGGTTATAGCATCCAAGTTGTAGGATTGCTGAAATTAAATGTTCCAATGCAGGTAAAGCATTTAGCCCAGTGACTGCCACAGGATGAAGACCCAGTAAATGTCAACTATTATTATTGACAGTAATAATATACAAGTTCATTGTTTAGAKAATATACATTGGTCTGTGTTCTTGCAAGTAATTATATTGACTGAATACAGATCCCTGTCATCTATCAAAATATTAGCCCCAAATATTATTGTGTGCTTTGTATTTACTTTCTTTTTAAAAGTTACTTTTTTATTTTCTAGCTTAAATTAAATTTATTTTAATTGATACATAAAAACACAAAAATTGTACATATTAATGGGGTACCATGTGATGTTTCAATACATGTATATAATGTACAGTGTTTAAATTAGGATAAACATACCTGTGTCCTGAAACATTTAATGTTTCTTTATGGGAAGAAATGTTCAAACTCCTTTCTTCTAGCTTTTTGAAGTGTACAGTGCATTATCACTATCTGTGGTCACTCTATGTGCAATAATAGCATACCAGAGCTTCTTACTCCTATCTAACTTGAGTGACATCATGTGGCACTTGTCTTTCTGTGTCTGGCTTATTTCACTTAACATAATGATCTCTAGTTACATCCRCGTTGTCACAAATGACGAAATTTCCTACTTTTTAATGGGCAAATAGAATTCCACTGTGTATGTGTACCACAGTTTTAAAAATTTATTTATCATTGAATGGACACTTTGGTTGTTTCCATTTCTTGGTTATTGTGAATAGTGCTCCAGATGTCTCTTCAACATATTGATTCCATTTCCTTTGGATGTATACCCAGTGGTGGGATTACTGAATCTCATGGTAGTTCTATTTTTGGCCTTTTGAGGAACGTCCATACTGTTTCTCCATAATAGCTGTACTACTTTATATTCCCACCAACAGTGTGAAAGTGTTCCTTTTTTCTTCACATTATTGCTTAGCACTTCCTGTCTTTAATTTTTTTTTATAATATCCATTCTTGCTGGGGTGATATAATTACTTTCTTGATGATAATTACAGTTACATCATTGAGGACTTATCAAATGCCAAACACTGGGATCAGTACTTTATATACATGATCCCACTGAATTCTCCTAATACCCTGCAAGGTAGGTATCACTAGCTCCATTATATAGCTAAGGGAAGAGAGGCTTTAAAAGGTGAAGTCATTTTTGAGATCAAAGTTTGTGGATGACACAAATGCAGTCCATTCAGAAATATTTGGATTCCAAAGTCCAGTACTTGTTGTCATGTATTGCTGTGTCCTCTAAGGACATTTTGTTGACAGGAAACTAGCTGTTTTGAAACAGTCTTTCAAGGGCAATATAGGTCTCCATTCATAACAGAGGGTCAGCTTYTGAGTTACCCAAAGCATGTGAAAGAATCTTTCCACTTAGCTCCTGATCCAGTTTCCTGGGAAAATTCAACCTGGCAATTCTTCATCTATATACTCTCTGGTTAGTCTGCAAATGAACATTTCAGTTGTCTAGAATCCATAAATGTTTTAAGCTTTGTGTTCCCCAAGCATCAATTTGTTCTTCAAACATACAATACAGAATATAGTGACTCTTCTCAAGTTTTATCTACCAGCCACTGGGATGGCTCCTGGGTGAGCTTTTTCTGTAGAGAACATGGTGTGTTGCTTCAAATCCTCTCAAAGCAGGAAAGGGAAAAATAAACACAAATWAGAAGCACAAATCATTGTAATACTAGCTAATATTTATGTTTGGCATATTAGTAATTAGTATTACTAATTGCTTTACAATATTTTATTTGATGATCGGACACATGTTAAAACACAYTATGAATTAAGAAGCTGATACTTAGAGAGATTAATATTAGTTGTGTTAAGTCACACAATTAGAATGTGACAGGTGATTCAAATCCAGGTCTGTTGTGCAGAGTCCAAACTGATTGGTCAGACGGTGCTGCCTCTCAACCATTTATCCATGTATYATTGTGTGTATGCTTAGAAAGCACCATGTGTGGATAATAATATCCATTAGAAGAAAAAACTGTTATGGAAGAAGAGTTTCATTTATGTATCTTATGTGAAAATATGTTTAGTAGGTCAAAATGTACTGGCTGCATGTACCAATGTATCAATACATTGAAGTATTTACTGCACTTTGATCCCCATYAGGAACACAAAATGAGAGAAGTCCCCATACATTGTGAGATAAATATATTGAGATATTATCATTTATTCATTGACCATTCAGGAGCCCAGTGAAAGTCAAAGAGTATATTGCAAACAAATATACRTAAGATTGTACAAAAGAAGTGTGAGCTAGATCCAGCCTAGGGTCCTAAGTGATCTTTCTGCTATAGCATCATCTGTATTCAGTCCTTTCTAATAGCATATTTATCCAAAATACAACCATCCAGATAATAAATTATATATAGTCATGTATTAGATAATAAAACTAAAGTTAAAGAAAAAAAAATTAGTTGGGCTCATTCAAACTGATTATTTGATTTAGTCACAGTTCCCTTAATAGATTTGTACTCATGCTGTTGATTACTCTGATTTTCTCACAATGCCCTTAATGGATGTGTAATTATTGTGAACTTAATGGAGTACCATACTCCTGTTAATTTCAAATTTCCCAGAAACCCMTATAACATAACATACTTTTCCCCCCTCTCTTTTTTGGTACCAGGGATTGAACTCAGAGGCACTTAACCACTGAGCCACATCCCCAGCCTATATTTATTTTTTTTATTTTGAGACAGGGTCTCACTAAGTTGCTTAGGGCCTCACTAAATTGCTAAGGCTGGCTTTGAAATTTTAATCCTCCTGCCTCAGCCTCCCAAACTGCAGGGATTACAGGCGTGCACCACCACACCCGGCTAATTCAACATACTTTTWAAAAAAGCATATAACTATAGAAGTTGGAAACTTCAGAAGATATTTGCTTCAAGAATTCTAGCTTCTTAAAAAGTAGTCTTATTTAAAGTAGATACATTTTCTCTTTAAACTGTGAGGACATTAATGTTTTCTAAGTGTGAAGTAACAAGTTTAACTAACARTAGTATATTCTAAAAGCCAAAATAAATGCATAAAAGATGTTTAGCAATCTAGCATTTTGCCAGCTCATTTTTGTTTTACAGTAGTAGAGAAGAAATTAATAGCAAATCGTTACTCTATGCACAAGGGAATAAACAACAAAAATATTCTTTAGAGATGAAATGTAAAAACAACAAAAACTAAACTCCAACTGAAATTAATCAAGTTTTTTTCTAAGTTGCTGGTTTTAATTAACAAATAAAACCCATACACCAATGACATGGAAAAAAAACCTGAGCAATTGCTCAGTTCAGTTCATAAGACATTTATGAAAAACCTACCAATGTTTCAGGCTTTGTGCTATCCTCTAGGGTGCAGAGGTGACTAACCCATGTCCTCAAAATAGCTGCCAGGTAGTTGAGTAGACAGATTCCTCAATAATAATTAATAATWATTAATAAKTATTAATAATTAATGATAATTATATTACAATAGGATAGATGAAATAGTGTATTTAATACAGAAGGATAATTTGGTCAGCTGTTACATCTGTACACAGCAAAACCCAAAAAAATCCCTCTCTTTTAAAAGATAGAAACTGAAGGGACAAATCCAATGACTTCATCCACTGTCCACCTATTATGTAAAGCACCATGATAGGTACAGAGAAGCAAAAATGACTGACACAGACCCTGTCCTGAGATCAAAGATTTCTAAATTCTAAGTAACATTTTTCCATGMAGATGCTTTCAGGGCTGTGGATGTGGTTTAGTGGCAGAGCRTTTGCCTGGGATGTGTGAGGCCCTGGGTTCAGTCCCCAGCACAGCAAAACAAACAAAAACAGATGTTTTCAACAGAAGGAATAGCTTAAAGACATTGTTCAGTGAGCTCTTTTGCAAGCAGTACATTTGTTGTAGCCTATTCATCTAATTAAGTRTGTGTGTGCATGTGTGTRTGTGTGTGTGTGTGTGTGTGTGTGTGTGTGTGTATTGAGGGTGACAGGTTCTGGCATCTAATTCTGATATTTATTATTGAGGGACTTTAAAAAATCATTTCATAATTCTGGAGCTCCATTTTCTCAATTACAAAATAAAGTACTGGGACTAATGATCTCTAATATGATTTCCAGCTTACCTGGGTTATTGATCCAAAAGTGACTAGTCTAGTCTTGCCTTGCTTATGAGCTGATTTAGCAACATCCTA